ACGGACAGACGGACAGACGGACAGACGGACAGACAGACAGACGGACAGGGCCAAATCAACTCAGCTCGTCACCCTGATCAAGAATATATATACTTTGTGGGGTCTGCCACGCCTCCTTCTGCCTGTTACATACATTTCAACAAAACCATTATACCCTGATTTCCCATTTTCAATGGGTTCAGGGTATAAAAAATAACAAAAGAATAATCAAAATACACTGCACAGATTTCATTGATATCTCATTGAATGCATCTCCTCTTCCCCTCATCTCCCATATATTTGACAACTTATATCTATTTATTTCCAGCTTTCATTTCGAAATTCCTCAAATCCTGCACTCATATGAAGCCAAGTTGAAAATGCAGACTTATGTCCCCACAGCATGAAGCAAATGCATTTCAATTGACCAACATAAACAACCAAATTTTCTTTTCAGTTTGCCACAAACAGAACCGCAAAAGGCTTGCCAACGACACAACAACAACAACAACAACAAAAATAAGAAAAAGAGAGCTGAGCTTGGCTCTACCCATCTATTTCAGCAATTGCAAAAGCCAACAACGAAAATCCTAAAATTTCAATAGCAAAAGAAGCCCAATGCGCATAATTTCAGTGCGGATGCAAGGCAGAGGGGAAACGAACAGTCAGGAACTGGAGTTTCAGGATTGCATTTCGTATTAGGATGGGGCCAACAGCAACAGCGGCCAAAAGGAAAAAATGCAAAATAAGAGGAGCTGGCTGCAAACAAAATGGCGGCGGCACAGCAGGCGCTGCACGGCCAGAAATGTGCCAAAATGTCAGAAATTCAGAGGGAAATCGGCGGAAAAAACCAAGACAGAACGAGAAATAGAGAGAGAGAGAGAGCGAAAGGGGAGAGAGGGCGAGCGTGAGATGGGCGGAGAGTGAGACAGCATGAAGCAAAGCATAAATTTCATTTTAGCCACGTCGCTTATCCATTCCTTTGCTGCATTTCACGTTGTGCTTTATCGCGTAATCTCGACAGCTCCCTGGCAACTGCTGCCCATTTTTTATGGCCTGATGATGATGTTAATTATGAGCGTGTTGATGCTGATGCAGCAGCAGCAGCAGCAGCAGCAGCAACTGACTTTGATGGTGCAAGCAATTTGCGCTGCAATTGTTTATGTGCTGATCAACGTCAAAGGCCGTGCTTTTTAGCCGGCCAGCGCGTATTTTGTAAGCATTTTTCGGTTGCACTAATTACGGCCGTGCCGAAATGTTTTAAATGCGGCCTTCGCCTCAGTCAAAAGGATGCGGAAATGCTGCCAAAGGCAGTCAGACAAAAGCACTTTGCTAGCGTACTTCATGCTAGCTCTCTCTTTCTCTCACTCTCTCCTACTGTCTCCTTCTGACTGCCGCGACCAGTCGTTTTTAAATGGCGTCCCGTCGCCATTTTATATTTAGAAATACAATGGCGCACGCGAAAGCGTTTTGCGGCAGCTTTGACGTTGACGCAGCAGACGCTCTGTGTCCTGCATATGCCGCTGCTCTTGCCTTATTCCCCATTGCCGCGTTGTCTGTTTTGTGCACTTCCGCACACTAACACACACACACTCGCGCGCACTGTGTATATAGCGCCATAAAGTATGCAATAACATTTTATTGTAACAACTCGTTAAACGTAACAAAACAAAGCAAAAGAAACGCAACGAAACGAAAGGGGAAAGAGAAGCGAAGAGCATGGGCCAGCCAGCAGTAAACTGAGCAAAAAAGGACACGCCGACAGGCAGTCAAGGCAGAAAGCCACTCATACAAAAAGAAAAACCCTAACCCCAAGCGCAATCCCTCGCCCAATCTCAAACCCCTCGCTTGGCCCTTGCCATTCAACTGCCTGTTCCTGTTTAGCATAAAATTTACTGCACCACGAACATTTGACGTTTACGTTGCCGTATGCCCCGTAAATCCTACTAATCAAATTTATTACCCACATACACACACACACTCCAGCACACTCACACTCACACACACACACTTGGCAAGCGACCACAAGCGCAATTTCTCCTGCTGGGCAAGCTAAGCCCATACAGCCAGAGCTGTACCGCTCCAGAGCTCCAGCAACGATGGACGGACATGCTCAGTGCGCTGTTGCCAACGGCCAACTTGGCCAAGCCGGACAGCTGGACAAGCTGGACAAGCTGGACAGCTGAACAGCTGGCCACTTCAAATGCTTGGCAATATGCATATTAAATTTAATTAGAGCGACGGTAAACATAAATTCAGGCACTGGAGTACAACGCTTGACG